AGCGGGCTATTGCCCTCGTCTTTATTATCAGCATTCGGACGTTATGCCTTCGTCAAATGTAGCTATTTAGCCGTCTCCCCACAGAGACGTGATGTGACGCAAAGTCGGGTTTAATGTGGCTACCCGAGCGTGTAAACTTGGGCTATGGTCACAAATTACCCAGCCCCAATCCTCACAACTGTCGATTTCGCTAGCATCCGTAGGGCGATTGGTGCCCCATCTCTAGTACAATATGGGGTTACGACCTCAGGCAGCTGTTCCCTGCTCCCCTTTCAGTAATTTCCCAGCTATCCGCTGACAGAGACATACTCCAGAGTTGATTACATTACCAGGCATGTGCCAGGTAAGTATCAAATGGATGTCGATCTGAGTAACCCACAGGGAATTTTGAAATTAAACCTTTATTTAATCTACGGGTGTTCTCGTTCCACTACCCATGTCTCGCGATATCTCGTCTATTTTTTTTTAATATTGCTCAATTATTCCACTCCCCGTTTCTACCGAGTCGAAGTACACACTGCCCAGCTCAGGAATTAACCGGCCTTGTGCCACACTTTATCCTCGTGGGTGGATAGATAAATACACGAATTGAACTGTCAATGACTTCAAACCAACGCCTTTATCCCTTAGGCTATTGTCCGGTTTGAGTTCTATCCCTGGGCGGGACAGAGATCGATGATGCCATAAAGTGATGTAACATATAGAAAGAGGCTTACGGTTGTATCACGTTGAATCATCGCTACCCGTACGATCATCGGAGTTAAGCAACGCCGAACCTGTGAGTACCCAGATGGGTGACCGTTTGGAAATATCAGGTGCTGCAAGCTTGGATGTGTGGACGTTGTAATGGATAATGGCTAGGAATTGTTAATCAGAGAGCGGAGTTCCAATTCCCATTGGGTTCGTTATATTCACTTACGTGCAAATATCCTTAACAAAACGTATAGATCCACCTATTACCCCCCAGCTATGGGTTAATTAGTAAGACTTGTATCACTAAAACCATTAGTATTACAAAAAAATTCCTCTTCTTCATCTTTGTGCCGTGACGTAGGTGATTATGGCTCTCCACAACTTCCTGTCCTTTGCAGGTCTTAATAAAATTTGTCTTCTGTTATTTCTCCTAAGCTCTGTTCCGACATCAGTTCACCAAAGATCATTAAGTATGTTATATGTTGTTTTACTTTGTTCCGTGTGTATCGTGTTTTCCAAGCCTTCTTTCCTCATTACATGCCCCAGAAACCCCAACTGTCTCTTCCTGATGCTAAGTATTAGTTTCCTTTACGTTTCCATTTTTCCCAAACTTCGTCGTTACATGTTCGGTCTAAAGTATCCTCAGCATCTTTCTGTAGAACCACATTTCTGCTGCTTCAATTATCCTCTTCATCTTTGAGGAGGTCGTCCAGCACTCACTGCCATACAGGAGGACAGATATCACATAACAGTTCTGTACTCTTTTCCTTGTTTAGATCGAAAATTTCCTATTTCTTAATACACTGCTTAGCTTTTGAAAAGCATCTTCGGCTATCCAAATGTGTCTTCGGATTTCAGTGTCACTCTTTCCCGTTCTCTTCTAAGACACTTCCCAGATATTTAAATTTCCGCTCTTGTTTGATTTGGGTGTCTCTGGTTTGCAATTCACGCCTCGGGCTCATTTTTTTGCTAACAACCATGTATTCTGTCTTCTTGTAGTTTATAAATAGTCCTTTCTTCTCGCTTTCCTTCCCTAACTTCTGTAGGAACGTTTCTTTTGTTTCGTTACGTTTCTGCTATCTGCATATCTTATTATGATTGTGACCGCCAATAATAAATCCTGTTAGGACATCTATTTCAGAATTGCCTCGCTGTATCGGTTGAATATGTCCGGTGAGAAGACCCACCCTTGTCTTACACCCCTTTCTATTCTTTTATATCTGCTAAACTCATTTTCTATCCGTATGCAGGCGGTTTGCTGCCAGTAATGGTTGAATGACATATAAACGATATGAGTTTCAATGGTGTATTCAGTGCGTGACCGCAATCATTGACTTGTACAGATCGACATGTTTATTAAATATGTACATTTCCTTTAGTCCTATTTCTGATGATCTAGTCCGGTAGACGTTACTTTCAATGTTTGTAAATATGCAGCAGTGTGAAACACGTGGATACACTAAAATAATGTTTGTTGCAAAAATTAAAACAAAAATATATGTATATTTGTATACGTGCGTGTCTCCGTTTCTATGCTTTTCTGCTGCTATATTTACGATTTATATATATATATATATATATATATATATATATATATATGTGTGTGTGTGTGTGTGTGTATGTGGGTACACGCCTATGTGTATGTATATACATGTATATGTTATTGTGTATGTGTGTATTCGAATGTGTTTTTGAACATAGAAATATAGGTCCTTGCTAGATTAGATAATCGTTATATTTATTTTTTATATATTTATATTTGATTTGTAACCTGTAGTCGATATTAAATTTGTCAAATTTCCTCAATTACACAGCAGCCCTTTCAATAAATGTCCTTCAATTTTACTTTTCTTCGCCCCATCTCTCTCCCCCACCTCGTCTTTCCCTCCCTCTTATTCTGATCTTCAACTTTAAATCGTCTATGGTGTGTGTATGTCACCACGAAATGTACCTTTATGCATTAGACATCCGACAACATTCATTTTTCTCTTAATTAATCCCCTTCCACTCACCTCTCCTAAAATTCTTTCTGTTAAGGTTTAATCTCCCTCCTTCTCTAGACTCTCTCTAAATTCTGTTTTTATTTCCCGAATTGTTTTTTCTGTTTTCTTTTTGAATTTGTAGGTCTGATGAATTGGATCGTATTTACGATTCCAATGGAATAAATTATGACCATGGAATATTAGTGTTTAAGCCTTTTTATTATATCCTTACTCTGTCCTAGACATTGAGTTCTACCTGGATTCTATCCTCTCGGAATTTTTCTATTAAAAAAATATACATATATGTGTATGCACCTATGTATATATATCTATATATTTGGCATATGCATGTGTATATTCACCACTAATATCTATCTATCTATCTATCTATTTATCTATCTATATATAATAATCTTATAAATATAAGTAAGTATAATCGTCAGGAAAAACCTTAGGTATTTTGGTTTGTAAATGAACAAACCAATGCCCAAGGGAAAATAAGTGGAAAAAAAAGAAAGAACTAAGAACATGAAATTGAAGCGGAAACAATCGACTAGAATCCAAGCTCAGAGTAAAATAAAAATAACTAAGCAAAGTGCTCAATACACTAAGTAGACCAAGTCTAACTATGAACCTAAAGAGCCAGACATACCTACCTAGGTTTCACCTACGCGGATCGTCAGGGTGTACTTGCCGGTGTACTCCGACGATACACGTAGGTGAAAACCTAGGTAGGTTTGCCTGGCTTATATATATATATATATATATATATATATATATATTATAAATTAATTGATTTAAAATATGTTTTTTCCGCTACACAGTTTTTGCCGTAAGTGCAATAAAAAAAAATTTACTTAAATAATATTTAAATATAAAAATTTTAAAAATCGTAATATACTTGATGTGATAATAATTCTACAAACTGTAAGGGATTCTCATTACATTTAATTGTTCTTAAAAGAAATATAGTATATTAAAAATTAAAAGTAAAAATATTTCAAATCGTAGTTAAATAAAAAGTATTCTAACCTAAACACCCCCCCAAAATCTTTAAATATACGAAGGAAAAAAATGCCGTAAGAATTTTTGCCGTTAACAATAAAATTTAAAAAAAAATCCAGACGACATACATTTAACGGATGTTAGATTTCATTGAAACATACATCCCTACCCACTACCAAAACGTAGCAATAACTGATACATTAAAATATAGACATAATGAACACCCACACCCCCCTCGTCTAGTAAAATGGATTCATCTGTAACCTTGGAAACATGAATTATAATTTTAGCTGTGTCTTTAAAACCCAGTAATTTTAAAAGTTACTACAAAATTCGCTTGAGGATGAAATGGAACTAATGTCTTTAATTTAATTACAAAATTAAATTCAGGGTTTTTAGCTTCCATTTTTGAAACATGGTTAGAACTGTGTAGCGGAAAAACATATTTTAAATCAATTAATTTATAATATTTATGCTCTGTAAATTTACATTGAGCACTATTTTTAAAAATAAAAATATCTATAAGAACACCGGATTATATATCTTACCGTTCTTTCTTTTATATATATATATATATATATATATATATATATATATATATATATATATATAAATTCGTAAATGCTTTAAAGATTGGTCAATCCGTGAACCTATAACCATTTTAAGCAACTCTCCGGATTTTTCAAATCATCTCTCGAAAAATCCGCATCCAATTTAGATCCTAGTGAAGTATGGAGTTTACGTCATTTACCGCTACGTCATTTACCGGTCTACTGTGCTATGTATTATAACGTGACTTCACCTCACAACTCGTGCCGTCCACCTGCGGTCTACCACATTCCGTACCCGGTTAGAACCCTTCAGAAATATTTAATTTTTTTATACATTTTTGATTTTGGTATCTGTAAATTGTATTTTGGGGTCATTCTTTTGCTAACAACCGTGAATTCTGTCTTCTTGTAGTTTATACATAGTCCTTTCTTCTCGCTTTCCTTCACTGCCTTCTGTAGGAGTTTTTTTTTTTTTTAGCTTTCTATCTGTGTTTGCTATCAACACTGTGTCATCTGCATATCTTATGTTGTTCAGATTATGGCCGCCAATAAACTACAATTATCAGTTTCAGTTTCATATCTACGTCCTGGCGATGGACAACGTTGCTTAACTTCGATGTTCGGACGAGAACCGCTGAAATAAACACTAAATGGACATATACATTCGTCGGAATTAACTGCAGTGGTCACGACTGGAATTTGAACGCGATTCAATTTTTTTTTTTTTTTTTGTTAATTTCTGATCTGGTATCTGTTACTGTTTAAATGCAATGTCAATCGTCATCTTCTATCTTCTTGAATCTCGGCCATCTTTTCTCCTTTTCTTAATCCCATTTTTAATTTAAAAAAATAATCACCTTGAGTAAAGAATTTGTAAACGTTTTGTTTTTATCCACCTCTTTCTTGACTTCATGTTTTCAACCGACTTCTAGTGGAACGACTAAATTCTACATTCTATTGCTTTAAGTGTCGTCTTCCTTTTTGAGGAGATCGTCCAGTAGTCACTGCCATACAGGAGGACTGATATCACATTGCAGTTTAGTATTCCTTTTTCTTGTTTCTAACGAAGTTTCTCAATTTCTTAGTGTTGACAATGTTTGCCGTAGTCTCTGAATATGGAATCCAGTGAAGTCCGTAATCTCTTCAATATCAGGGATTGGCAATGTAGATTCGGAGAAAGTAGCGGCTGTTAATTCTTTAAGTCTTCGATATCAGGTTGGCAGTGGAGATAATTTGGGAGAAAAAACAAAATGGCTGCCTTTATACATGTCGGATTGAATATTTTGAGCTTTCTGATTGGTTAACCCTTCTGGTGAACTATAAAATGAGTCAGCTCATTTTGACTGGCTCAATAGTAAATACATATATAAAAAAAACTGTAACACTTAGAACTCTGCTTAGCTTTTGAAATGCTTCCTTGGCCATCCCAATATGGCTTCGGATTTCAGGGTCACTCTTTATGTCATCTGTTAAAACACTTCCCAGATATTTAAATTTACGCACTTCTGATTTGCAATTCGCACTTTGTGCTAATCCTTTTGCTAACAAACATGCATTCTGTCTTACAATCTAAAAACATTTTCTGGCTTTAAATAAATTGCAAAGGGTTGATAAACCGTAAAAAAAACCGAATCAATCAATGAAATACGGATTAGCTACTGAGACATGTCTTTTAGATTTATTTACATTCTCTGGAATATAAATGTATAGAAACTACAGTGGTGACAAAATGAGGGTCCAGTTTATATAGTGTTTGTAATGTAGAATTGATCCCCCACTTTATATCCACATTATTATGTCATTTTTTATGAATCTACCTCATCTTCCAACTATGGGTTAATTGGTCAGACTTGTTTAACTAAAAAATTATTATCTCCCAAAAAAAATAATAAAAAAAAATATCTTATAATCTAAAAAATGTTTTCTGGCTTTAAATAACCTGCAATGAGTTGAGAAACTGAATCTATATATTGAATAAAATCTTTTGGTTCAGATGCTATAAATGTGGGTGTAAATATAGAGAGACTAGGAATATTAAGACATTATTTTAAATTGGGCCTCAAATTTATTGAAGATGCTTGTAAAATTTTGGCAGTGTAAGGAGTTTTAACTTGAAACTGCTCTAAGAGTTATGGGGTGATCCTTGGAATAAAGCTCAAAAGAGAATGGTTATTAATTGTCAATTATGACCCTTTCAAATGCAAAGTAGAAGAGAACCCTGCCACCGGCATTTTGAAAAAAAATTTTTCTGAACAGCTTAAGATCTTAAAATGTTTTCAGATCAGCTTAAGGTAATTAAACAATTATTATCTAAAAAAAATAAAAATAAAAAATCTTACTATTGTGATGATGCAGTTCTGTATGTCACTGCACGAGCTGTGATGACATCCAAAGTCGGCTCTATGCGAATACACCTGCCTCTCGCTATGTTCCACAGTTTTGGCCGTGATCGAGGTCAACAAAGAGTAACGGCAAATTTTCAAGACTCTGGTTGTGAAGCAGCAAACTAATACGATTTCTCACTTCATCGGCAATGTCTTCCTTTTGCTTCGAAAAAGCGAACGTCTGGCATCTCACTAACTTCCGGCTACGGAGAAAAAAGAACCCCTGCACATTGACTGCGTAGTCGTTTCCCTGACTGACTTGGCCGTTTCACTGACTGCCTTTCGTTTCCTGACTTCTTCTTTCACCGACAACTCATTACATAGATACCAGCTGGAGGTCTCACTACCCCTTTCCGACAATTTGTGTTCCAGCAACCGGCAAGTGCGACCGCCTAGACAGCTTTTGGTGGTCAGTTTTTTTTTTGTTTTTTTTTAAAGTACCCTACTTTTACGGCTATCTAAAATCGCTAACAACATTTTATGTTTGTCAATTCAAAGGTGGACTGGAGACAGTATACCGGAAAAATCCTGGTCATTAAATTGACTTAAAAGGAAAAAGAACCTATTTATACCTCTCTTGCGGATGTGCGAGGAATCGTATTGCTGTACCATCTAAAAATATTTTCTGGCTTTAAATAACACGCAAAATGTTGATAAACAGTAAAAAACGAATCAATTAGCATAGAAGAAAAACTGGTCTGAAAAAAACTGTTTTAAGAAAAAATAATCAACTTCCAGTTACACATTATTAACATTATTCGGACTATTGTCGTCATCTTTGTCGCCATAGTTATTACAAAGTTTCGGCCGTTGTACGCTCTGGCCTTCTTCATGTGGTTGGAATGTCAACTGAACCCTTTATTTCGCTCACTGGGGTAGAAAAAATGAGCGAAATAACGGGTTCAGTTCAACATTCCAACCACCTGAAAAACTGTAATAAATATGGCGACAAAGATGAGGACAAAATAATGTAAATAGTGTACATAATACCTCTTCTCAGAAATATAGACAGATACTGAAAGGCTGAAACGTTGTAATAAATATGGCGACAAAGATGAGGACAATAGTCCGAATAATGTAAATAATGTACATAATACCTAACCTGAGAAATATAGACAGATACTGAAAGGCCGAAACGTTGTAATAGATATGGCGACAAAGATGAGGACAATAGTCCGAATAATGTAAATAATGTACATAATACCTCATCTTAGAAATATAGACAGATACTGAAAGGCCAAAACGTTGTAATAAATATGGCGACAAAGATGAGGACAATAGTCGGAATAATGTAAATAATGTACATAATACCTAACCTGAGAAATATAGACAGATACTGAAAGGCCGAAACGTTGTAATAAATATGGCGACAAAGATGAGGACAATAGTCCGAATAATGTAAATAATGTACATAATACCCAACCTGAGAAATATAGACAGATACTGAAAGGCCGAAACGTTGTAATAAATATGGCGACAAAGATGAGGACAATAGTCCGAATAATGTAAATAATGTACATAATACCTAACCTGAGAAATATAGACAGATACTGAAAGGCCGAAACGTTGTAATAAATATGGCGACAAAGATGAGGACAATAGTCCGAATAATGTAAATAATGTACAATAGACAGATACTGAAAGGCCGAAACGTTGTAATAAATATGGCGACAAAGATGAGGGACAATAGTCCGAATAATGTAAATAATGTACATAATACCTAACCTGAGAAATATAGACAGATACTGAAAGGCCGAAACGTTGTAATAAATATGGCGACAAAGATGAGGACAATAGTCCGAATAATGTAAATAATGTACATAATACCTTATCTTAGAAATATAGACAGATACTGAAAGGCCAAAACGTTGTAATAAATATGGCGACAAAGATGAGGACAATAGTCCGAACCTAACCTGAAAATATAGTAAATAATATGGCGACAAAGATGAGGACAATAATCGAATAATGTAAATAATGTACATAATACCTCATCTTAGAAATATAGACAGATACTGAAAGGCCGAAACGTTGTAATAAATATGGCGACAAAGATGAGGACAATAGTCCGAATAATGTAAATAATGTACATAATACCTTACCTGAGAAATATAGACAGATACTGAAAGGCCGAAACGTTGTAATAAATATGGCGACAAAGATGAGGACAATAGTCCGAATAATGTAAATAATGTACATAATACCTAACCTGAGAAATATAGACAGATACTGAAAGGCCGAAACGTTGTAATAAATATGGCGACAAAGATGAGGACAATAGTCGGAATAATGTAAATAATGTACATAATACCTAACCTGAGAAATATAGACAGATACTGAAAGGCCGAAACGTTGTAATAAATATGGCGACAAAGATGAGGACAATAGTCCGAATAATGTAAATAATGTACATAATACCTAACCTGAGAAATATAGACAGATACTGAAAGGCCGAAACGTTGTAATAAATATGGCGACAAAGATGAGGACAATAGTCCGAATAATGTAAATAATGTACATAATACCTAACCTGAGAAATATAGACAGATACTGAAAGGCCGAAACGTTGTAATAAATATGGCGACAAAGATGAGGACAATAGTCCGAATAATGTAAATAATGTACATAATACCTCATCTTAGAAATATAGACAGATACTGAAAGGCTGAAACGTTGTAATAAATATGGCAACAAAGATGAGGACAATAGTCCGAATAATGTAAATAGTGTACATAATATCTCATCTCAGAAATATAGACAGATACTGAAAGGCTGAAACGTTGTAATAAATATGGCGACAAATATGAGGACAATAATCCGAATAATGTAAATAGTGTACATCATATCTCATTTCAGAAATATAGACAGATAGTGAAGGGCTGAAATGTTGTAATAAATATGGCAACAAAGATGAGGACAATAGTCCGAATAATGTAAATAGTATACATAATACCTCATCTCAGAGATATATACACAATTCCAGTTACACTTATAGCTATTCGCTTAAAGAATACCAAACTTTTCCTGTTGGCAAAAGCCTAATCGAAACATTACCATTATTTTACCATTATAAATAATGATTACTTTTCCTAGGTCGTCTATTTTATTGGAGAATATCGGTGATGGAAACTCACATTTAATGCCACTCTTCAAATGAACCAGCGTAGTTGATTTTACTCTACCTGTGGTGTCATTAGATGGTCGAGTTTTTTGACTCTGAGATACGTTCTTTCACTCCTAATTAAAAGCGCACATATGGTGTTCATTTCTATGCTAGACCTACTGAGGAGGTTATTAGTGACTAGCATGTGTGCTGATTCTTTCAATCGACTTATTTTCCAGTCTGTATACTCAATTATTTTAACATCATTGCCACAGGGGTTGGTGACAAATCAGACAAAAAGAGACAAGCTAACAAATAAGAAAGAAATAAGTAACCGAATGTATTACTTTCAATCAATCTATCTATCTATCTATCTATCTATCTATCTATCTATCTATCTATCTATCTATCTATCTCTGACCGTTCTCATCTATCTATCTATCTATCTATCTATCTATCTATCTATCTATCTCTGACCGTTCTCATCTATCTATCTATCTATCTATCTATCTATCTATCTATCTATCTATCTCAGTCCGTTCTCATCTATCTATCTATCTATCTATCTATCTATCTATCTATCTATCTAAACGTTTGTTTATCTCACTCTGTCTACTGTTCAGATCTTTATGTATCTCTCTCTCTGTCTCTCTCTCTCTCTCTCTATATATATATATATATATATACGTGTGTGTGTGTGCGTGTGTGTATATGTGTCTGTTTATCTCTGCTGTTCAGATCTATCTATCTATCTATTCATCTATCTAAGTCCGTTCTCATCGATCTATCTATCTATCTATCTATCTATCTATCTATCTATCTATCTATCTATCTATCTATCTATCTTATTCGGTTCATTATCTATCTATCTATCTATCTATCTATCTATCTATCTATCTATCTATCTATCTATCTATCTGTTTTCAGTCAGTTCATATCTATGGGACTATGTCAGTGTGTTCCTACCTACCTATGTAGCTACGTACGTATGTATGTACGAACGTTCCTACCTGTTCAAATAGTTAAACGTCTGTTTAATTATATCTGTCTATTTCAGTCTATTCATTACTATCGATCTCTTCAGTAAGTTTACATCTACGTATCGATTTGGGTTTTTTCAGTCAGTACATATGTATGTATGTATATATCTATGCATCTATCCGTATATCTGAATTTGTTGAAATCTATCTACATCTGGTTATCTCTCTCTCTGTCTACTGTCCAGATCTATCTATCTATCTATCTATCTATCTATCTATCTATCTATCTATCTATCTATCTATCTATTTATCTCAGTCTCTTTGTTTCTTATCTATCTATCTATCTATCTATCTATCTATCGATCTATCTATCTATCTATCTATCTATCTATCTCTCTCTGTCAATCTGTTGATATCTATCTATGTTAGTCTGTTCAGATCTATCTATCTATCTATCTTTTTTTTTTTTTTTTTTTTTTTTCAGCGTTTCACCCCAAGCAAGGCGGGAAGCCACAAGGACGCAAGGCGTTACAGAAAATTTGGAGCAAGGTCAGATAGGAGTGATAGAAGAAAGGATGAGGAGAAGAGTAGTGGATAGATCAAGGCAACTGGAGATACAGAGGCCAGAGAGAGAGAGAGAGAGAGAGAGAGAGAGAGAGAGAGAGAGAGAGAGAGAGAGAGTACCGGAAACCCAATTCCTAAACAAGAAACAAGGCGTAAGCCTCTACTCATGTCCAAGAGAAGGGGGAGGAATAGAGGCTTATCTATCTATCTATCTATCTATCTATCTATCTATCTATCTATCTATCTATCTATCTATCTGTGTGTGTGTGTGTGTATATGTGTCTGTTTATCTCTGCTCTTCAGATCTATCTATCTATCTATCTATCTATCTATCTATCTATCTATCTATCAGGGTAGCTGGCTCGATAGCTAGCTCAGTCCGTTCATCATCTATCTATCTATCTATCTATCTATCTATCTATCTATCTATCTATCTACGTCTGTTCATATCTTTGTTTTCACCTAGATAAACATTCATTTCATTCCCACACAGTCTTCGTCATCGTCTTTACACTTTTTCGGCGCTTTTTCTTTTTGTACGATGACAGATTTTCAGGGTCACCCAGACCGTAGTCTCCACCACAGATTTCTGTCGCTAATAGCTAAAGTTAACTATGCTCAGATCAATCGTTTAGTCTCCGTAAACGTCACATACTTCGACGAATATCAATGAGTAAATCTTTGTTTATGCTGGGAGAAATTGAGTGACACCTCCCGCTTTGTCATCTCTTTCATGTCAGATGTTATTTTGCCAGATAGAGAGGGAAAATTGTTTCATGACTTATTGGGCAGAAAATTCTTCCATTATTACCAAGCCGCCATGATCTGCCTCTGGCCTTGCTGGGTCAACGTTATAAATTAAGAGGCATTACTTTCAGAGCATTATCTAAGCCTGTCTGCATATATTTATATATGTATCTTCTTTAAAATCACCCACACCGCCAAATCTCATTTCATATCTAACATTCCACCCTGCACTGTACTTCCCATCGCCCGGTTCTCCCCTCCTTCCAGGGGACCCTTTAAGTGAAACGCCAAGGAATTCCAAAGCTCGTTTTTTTGGCCGTTATCCAAGTCTCCCAACTGCGCCCGCAAAAGAGATTCAAGGTCAGGTCAGCGAAAGAATGCTCTGCCTCGACTTCTCTTTGCTTCTCATTTCATTTATACGCAGAAGCACTTTTACGAATTCGTACATCAACGTTGATTGGCAAGCCGTAGTTCATGGTTCAGAAATATGAAAAGAAGTTTTCCTTGAGTGTTCAGCTATATTTCTTATTTCACTTACCCTTTAATATCGAAGGGTTTCTTCACAGGGTAAAGTAGTAATGCAGATATCGTCCATCGAAAAGAGATGTGAAAATGTATTGTTAATATTCAATGAATCTTTTCGACATTTTTCGTGTTCTTTGTTGTTCTCGTCTGAAACTTTGAGATGATTTGTAGTTAATATTCAATGAATCTTTTCGACTATCCTCGTCTTCGTTGTGGTTCTGGTCAGAAACTTTGGTAGTTCTTAATATTCAATGAATCTTTTTGACTTTTGAGTGTCCTCGCTTTCGTTTGTGTTGTCGTCTGAAACTTTGATATGAGTTATTCTTAATATTCAATAAACCTTTTCGACTATCCTCCTCTTCGTTGTTGTTCTCGTGTTAGACTTTAAGATGAGTTTTTAATATGGAATGAGTCGTTTCGACAATCCTCGATTTCATTTGTGTTGTCGTCTGAATCTTTGATATGAGTTATTCTTAATATTTAATAAATCTTTTCGTCTATCCGCCTCTTCGTTGTTGTTCTCGTGTTAGACTTTAAGATGAGTTTTTAATATGGAATGAGTCATTTCGACAATCCTCGCTTTCATTTGTGTTGTCGTCTGAAACTTTGATATGAGTTATTCTTAATATTCAATAAACCTTTTCGACTATTCTCCTCTTCGTTGTTGTTCTCGTGTTAGACTTTAAGATGAGTTTTTAATATGGAATGAGTCATTTCGACAATCCTCGCTTTCATTTGTGTTGTCGTCTGAAACTTTGATATGAGTTATTCTTAATATTCAATAAACCTTTTCGACTATCCTCCTCTTCGTTGTTGTTCTCGTTTAGACTTTAAGATGAGTTTTAATATGGAATGAGTCGTTTCGACAATCCTCGATTTCATTTGTGTTGTCGTCTGAATCTTTGATATGAGTTATTCTTAATATTTAATAAATCTTTTCGTCTATCCGCCTCTTCGTTGTTGTTCTCGTGTTAGACTTTAAGATGAGTTATTAATATGGAATGAGTCATTTCGACAATCCTCGCTTTCATTTGTGTTGTCGTCTGAAACTTTGATATGAGTTATTCTTAATATTCAATAAACCTTTTCGACTATTCTCCTTTCGTTGTTGTTCTCGTGTTAGACTTTAAGATGAGTTTTTAATATGGAATGAGTCATTTCGACAATCCTCGCTTTCATTTGTGTTGTCGTCTGAAACTTTGATATGAGTTATTCTTAATATTCAATAAACCTTTTCGACTATTCTCCTCTTCGTTGTTGTTCTCGTGTTAGACTTTAAGATGAGTTTTTAATATGGAATGAGTCATTTCGACAATCCTCGCTTTCATTTGTGTTGTCGTCTGAAACTTTGATATGAGTTATTCTTAATATTCAATAAACCTTTTCGACTATCCTCCACTTCGTTGTTGTTCTTGTGTTAGACTTTAAGATGTGTTTTTAATATGGAATGAGTCGTTTCGACAATCCTCGATTTCATTTGTGTTGTCGCCTGAATCTTTGATATGAGTTATTCTTAATATTTAATAAATCTTTTCGACTATCCTCCTCTTCATTGTTGTTCTCGTGTTAGACTTTAAGATGAGTTATTAATATGGAATGAGTCATTTCGACAATCTTCATTTTCGTTGTTGTTCTCGTCTCAGGATTTGACATGAATTGTTGTTAATATACAATTAATCTTTTTGTCTAATCACATTTTTCCTAGTTTTTTTTCCTGACACTTTGGGATGATTTGTCTTTCATATTAAACGAGTCGTTTGAACTACCTTTATATATTCGTTGTTCTTATCTGAGACGCTGCGATGAATTGCTGTTAATATTCAATGGATCTTCGCATAGCCCTATCTTCGCAGCCCAATACTTGAATGTTACGAACTGGATGACCAGTTTAAAATTTCAGTTGAATATAAACACTTCTTAATGCGCTACCTTTTCCGGAAGTAGGCGATCATGGCTTTTTTTTTTATTATTGTATGTGATTTGGTGTCTAGTCGCCTGCTACCATCTCCACTGTTTGGAATTCAGATTTGTCTTTTAGGTCGAGAATGGCTTCCAACTAACGTCAGAGAACCTTGCTATTTAGCAAATAGTAAGGAGAAGACATCTATTCATGGCTTTTCCAAAAAGTTTTAGCGAGAAGGTAAACACAAACGACTATGTGATTTGAACTGATAACTTACTGTTAGGTAAGACGCACATCTTATATATAAAATAGAGTGTATGTGTTTGTGCGTGTGTGTGTCCAAGTAACTCCTCCGTCCCCACTGGTCCAATTTCAATGATTAATAGCTCATTCAAAAGCCCTAGAAAATTTTGACGATTTCCGTTGAGCTCAGATTTAAGGTTGCCAAATTATTCGAGCTTAAAAAATATATATTAATACATTATACTAGCCATTATTTTTGCTTTCATGGTTCAAGGGGAGTAACTCTTATTTTCCTTTTGTATCCAAAATTGCAGTGCACGTTTTATTATAAACTAGCTTAAAAGCCATCCTATCAGCCGGCATTTAAGCTAGCTCCTGTGAAGGACTCATGGTTTGGCTATCGTCACAATAGCTAGGGAGGAGTAGATACGATAGGCATCAACAAACTACAGAAGAACTCAAAACTGATCCCTGCATTTAAGTATTGAATTAATGTTTACGTTTACCTTTTTAAAGTTCAACGATAATTCTTCCGTTGCCATTTAAAGATGATTTGATGTACGTAGGTCCTTATTTTCCGTACAAACAATTATTTTTATTTCATGGGTGACAGAACAGGGGACAATTTATAAGATAAAATTACTATAGTATAAAGATGGGAAAATAGAAATTAGAATTAGTTATACATTTAACATTTGAAGAGAAACATAATAGCTAATTAAGTAAAAACTATATTATGGAATCTATATGAATAAATAAGAAATTGGAGAACAACTATCCAAGGAATTCTGTGATTAAAATGCCCCAGCTCTTTTATAGTAATTTACGCGGTATTTACTTGCCCCCCCCCACGAGGTCAGGTTGTGACACAAGGTCAGTTTAATGTGGGGAGCCCGAGCACGTGCACCCGGGCAAGGAACAAAAATTCCCCGAGCCCCCGCAACCATCGGTCGCGCTGGCCTCGGTGCGTGCACCGATCCTTATCTCTAGTGCAATGCGAAGGCGCGGCCTCGGGCAGATGTTCCCCAGGGCCAGGTACCTCTTCAGTATAATTTTCTTCAGTTGCCCCTCTATTCTTTGACAGAGAAGCCCCTGAGCGCAATCTGTCCAAAGACAGAGACGCAACTGAGAGATGATAAATAATGCGAAATCCCTTTACGCGGTGTTTACTCATTCCCTCATTAGAATGAGATGTGACACAAGGTCGGATTAATGTGGGGACCCGAGCGTGTACCCTCAGGGAGGGACAAAATTTCCCCTCAGCCCCCGGAACCGTCGGTTGCGCTGGACTCGGTGCGAGCATCGATCCCTTCCTCTTGTGCAATGGGAGGGCGCGGCCTAGGGCAGCTGTTCCCCAGGGCTGGGCACCTCTTCAGTATAATTTTCCTCAGTTTCCCCTCTGTCCTTTGACAGAGAAGCCCCTGTGCGCACTCTGTCCAAGGACAGAGACGCAACTGAGAGATGATAAATAATGCGAAATCACTCCAAGGAGGGATTTACGCGCAGTATTTACTTGACCCCCCACTGAGTCAGGTTGTGACACAAGGTCAGTTTTTAACGTGGGGACCCGAGTGTTTTCACTCGGGCCGTTGGTCTAAGCTGGTCTTAGCTGGTCGTAGCTTGTCCATGCTGATCAGAGCTAGTCATAGCTGGTCTTAGCTTGTCCAGACCCGAGCCGGTCCAAGCTAGTCGTAGCCATGATACTACCAGCAACAGGGCCGAAGCACAAGTGCCGGGTAAGTATCCGAGCGCGTACACCCCTCCAAGGAGGGATTTACGCGCTAAAAGATCAAATGGCTGTTTTATATATTATCTATTTCTCGTCAATATCACTCTTCAGGTTTAATTAATTTGCATACTGATTTTAAAAAAAAAACGTTTATTTCATTAATTTCGAGTCCTACATTACTTTTCTTTTATTCGTGGGTTGGTTTGATTTCCATATCAAAAATAGTACTCTTTATGAATATCGTCTTATATAGTGCAGAAAAGAGTTTCAAATTTGCATTTTACTTGGCCTTCAACAAGTTGGCATCTATTTGTAAAACTTTCCCTAACTATAACAAGCTAATTTATGATTGAGATGTTCATTTAAGAGATTTCAAGTAGCGAATATATGTTACTTTGCGAAGCCTGCTAGTTTGGTATAAAATCTTATCATGGTTAAGATAGGTAATCGATTCTTATTATCGCATTTGCTCTTCTCACCGGAGACGCCATTGCATATAACCACACTAATGTCAATTAGTCGAATTTCATTTCGAATTCGCGCAACAACGCAAATTAGTACAAAACCAAAACATTAACCCAAAGAACCCCAACGATGTTCATAAATAGCCTTGTCAGGTCGAAACTGTCAAATGGATGTCATCCATGGCGTCAGCCTCGTTCGGAAATGTCTAAACTGTCACCTGGATACAACCGCTTTCTAAGATCAATGTTGAAAAAAAAACCAAACAAACTTCGAGCAAGTAGGTCTAGGTGGATGGACAGTTGCTTAACAGACAATTGTTTACATCCTTAGAGAAATGCATCCCTCGATAATTGCGTACCTCTGCTACTTTTTGATGGTACCATTTTTTTTTTAAAGAGTTGTTTAATATAGAAATTTGTACACCAATAGCTTTAATTACTCAAAAAAGTAGAAGGTCACCCTGGCGTGGTGTAATGGTTAGCAAGCTTGACTCGCTAAAACAGTTACGATTGAATAGTGAGTTCGATCCTCACTGGGCGCTCCATATTTTCGGCCTTGTACCACGTCTAAGCTACGCTTGGAAAATCACTCCTCTAAACCACAGAAAGGTAGTTAATAAAAAAAAA